AGCTTGCTATTGTGAACGCCCCTTGATCTTTCGCGTTGTTGTGCCGTAACGTCTCGGTGACGAAGGAGTTCGTTCGAGAGGTTAGGGCTAAGGTAATTTTTTGGGATCGTTGCCGGTTAAGGAGTTAGAACTCGCGTGAATACAACAAAACAGAAAGGTTTATTGAAACAATCAAGTGTTGTACAGTTGGTCGACGTACGTCGACTTCGAAAATATAGGCACCGTTCGGTCCTCCTATTTCCTGTACCGAGTCTACTCCACGAGACCACCTTATCCGTTCGGATTTTAATTGTAGACTGTAGATTTTCGGATGTGCAGCCATAAGCTGGACTTCCGAAAAGTGATTATTGTGCGATTTTTAGATTTCCACATATTAGTTGCCAGGCCGCCTTTAGTACTGACTTAGCGCATTGCTACACGCGTGAACTACTTGGCCTGGCGTTTGTCAATGGGGTCAGGAGACTCCCAGCACAACAGCAGGCTGATTCACTTTTTAATAGTTTAATACTATTTATCCGAATAGAAAAGCAGTAAAAAAATGAGATGAGTCAAATAGTATATCTGCTTAGAAATGTTTAGTTTCATACATTTTTGAGTAGCCTGATTCGATTTAGCCAATTTTTTTATTCATGCCTACGTGAAGATAATTTTTAATATTTCGAACTATCAGTATGTTCTACCTCGACATAATTTTCTGATAATTCGATGTATTAAAAATATTACCTTTACATAACCTTAAATGATAACAATTAAATGAAAAAAATCCCTAACCAGATACATTATTTGTTTCATCTCTTTATAGAAAATAATTGGTTCATTTTTATATGCTCATCATTTTATGTCCGAGATTAATAAGTGCGCATTTTTGTTTTTGGTAATTTTCCGTAATGCCTTCTTTATCCGTCTGAATATTATGTATGCTATTAAAACATGAAACAGCGTAACATAGGTGTTTGTCACAGGTAGGCTCTCGGGAAGAAGAAACGTTCGCTGTTTGATGTACCAATTTATTGCATGTATACGATGTAATATAATACAATATTTGTAGACTAATACAATCATATATTTAATGAATCTTAAGTTAACTAGTTGAACCAATAAGCATAATTGATAATTAAGAAAAAAAAAAGGGGGTGAGACGTGAATTCCGAACTCGAGACTCTCGGAAGTTAATCCAGCTCCAAGCACGTGTGCTACCGGGCCATTGTGATATGAAAATTGGAAAATTTATATTTCTATAGTTACCCGCTTTCAAGGGTTTGTTTAAGGTTTTATTTGCTCACTCTATTATTTACAAAGCTTCATATGGATATTAAGGGAATTCACATCGGAAAAATTTACTATCTCATTACTACGGTTTATGTAATATGTAGTAAGAAAGGGTGGATTCAAGTCTCCCTATTTGAGTGTTCACCCGGTTTAAAATCGTGAATCTCGAGGAACACACGAATTTATTCTACCAATCAAAAACGTGGAACTAGTTCGAGAGTCTCGTTCAGGTGGCGCGTCGACGCGCCAAAACACAGCTCCAGATTATCACGCGTAGTATTACTATATATACACGACCAATCAAAAACGTGGAACTGCTTCGAGGGCCCTCCGCTAAGATGCCGCGCCGAAACCAGAGAAAAATTGCCATCACCAAAAACAGGCTCATTGGCAATCTCCCTACTCATCTCCGGTGACTGTACACCAAATTCGACGCGCAGGTAAACGACTATCGCGCCCAGCTTCCAGCGGCATTCACCAATGGGTTTTCATATGAAAACTTAAGTGAGTATTTATACGGATTTCGCCCAACACTGTTCGGATTCGGTGTATAAACTTTGTAGGTCCCCTCACGCTGAGTTGAATAAGGCCCGTCTCGCAAGGTACATCGCCATCTATTGTCGAACTTCCAACCTTGATTATTAGGACCAGTTACTGGCACATGTCCCCCATTGGGGATACAGCCATAAGGAAACGAAGGAAGGAAGGAAGGTAAACGACTAGTGCTCAAACTTTAAACGCGTTTTTCTCGGAACTATGTTTTTCAAAATGGTGTACACGATATCTCGGGCTGTGATTGATGAATCGATTTGAAATTTGGTATATATGTTCAGAAGAATACCAGTTTACGCGTGACGGACAAGTTTGTCAATACGTTTTTTTTGCAATATTTGTTAATAATAATAACACGCATATAGCTCCGAAAATGGCGAAAAAGTTCAGGAATTTTTTTCTCGTAACCTAAGACGAAAAAAAGAAAAAAGGTCCGTCACGCCATAGCTAATACCATGTAGTTAATGAGATTATTTTTTATTTTTGATTCAGACCAAACATATTTGCGAAATAGTGTAGACTAGAGTCCCTGTAGTAAGAGTCCGGCCAACGGTGGGGCTTGTTAGTGATTGGCTCCGCCATATTATGGGCTCTTTCCGGAATAGAATGGTGTATGTGAATACGTATATGGGAGAGATTCGCATTGTGTAGTGTGGGTAGTGTTAAGCTCTGTACGGCGGGTTGCCTGTACTTGGCGCGAGACTCGATCGAGTCTCTTGATGGTAAAGATTGATAGTTTGAAAATCCGCGCGCGATAGTTTTGAAAATCCGAAAATTAAATTAAACGTTGAATACAATGATGGCGCCAAACAAGCCCTTAATATGGCGTCCCTTCCGGGTGTTGGCCGGATTCTTACTAGAGGGACTCTAGTCAGAGAACATATTTTACATGAAAGCGTAGGCCTTATGGGAGGATTTGGCACAAAACGCTGGGGTAATCTGTTAGTGGTTACCCTACTGCGAGCGCTGCTTGTATCGATGTGAACAAACACACCGATAAATTATTAGCTCCGCCCCTTGCTATGATCGCGCGTCTTTTGACATTCATCGCTCACGTGGAGGACTTGGCATTATGAGCGTTATCATTATCATTGGCATTATCAATCCAAACATTAGAAATGCGTTAATGCGAGCGAGTACGCACTATCACGTCCAACGTTGGAAGCAGGTAAATGTAAGCAAGAGATCGTGATAGGCTGTGAGCATGAGTGCGAGGGAGTCGACTGCATAGGCGTGGCTTCACACTCTTTACATGTGTGTAACACACTGATAGATCGCCGTGCCATCTACCGGAGAAAAGTGAAATTACTTTTTCTCTGCCAAATGTTAACACGGGACCTACGCTTCCATGTAATATATGTTCTCTGCTCTAGTGTACACCAATCGATCGCGCACGGAAAATATGAGCCGACACGAAGAAGAATAACGTGTAGAAATTTCAATATTTTTTTATAAAAATTTTTACACACGCTCCTTAAGTTATACATAAAAACATATTCAAAAATTAAAAGTATTGCATTTGTAGCTTTTCCGAAATAAATTTCCAAAAATTAGCCTAACCCCTTAATGGGTTTGCCATCTACTAATTTCATATTTACGATGCATTATCGTTTCTGATACATGTACTTAACAAATTTATGGATTTCCAGAGAATGTTCAGAATATTCACAAGTGGGAACGTTGAATATCTTATGGACATGAATTTAGATATTGAGGATATTGAAAGCCAAATTGGGATATCCTATGGATGTCAAATGCTGTGTGGATTTAAGACGTCTTTATGCTAACATGGATATTACAAATATTTAAAATAAATAAATTCAATATAAAAAATATAGGAAATTAAAATAAACTTTGAGTAAATGTTTGATTAAATTAATACAATAAATAATTTTTACTTTAACATAACGTAAATTTAGCGAATTTGAGATATGCGATTTGAAAACTTTAGGCAATCATTTGCATTAACTTAAATCGCACGTTGTACCCGTCATACGAGTCTATCTGGTTATACTGATTTTAGTTGTAGCAATATTATTGTTATATGCAATATTTTGTATAATTTGTATATTATGTATCTTGCTCAAGACGGATTATGGACATTTTAATTGTGACATCTTTTGGAAGATGTGTTTAAGGTGTTTTTATTCAGGACGACTCTGTGACATGTGTGCTAACAGGGTCTCAAAACAATTCTGTGACGGATGTTCAGCTAGGCAATAAGAATAATAACGGTAATTTGATTATTCCCGATAATTGAATAAATGATGCGAAACATGAGGAATCATAGAAATAAAGACACTGATAGTCTCAGACTTTATTAACATTTTTTAGTAACATTATCCTCCTTGGTTCTCTGCTTTTATGCTTATGTAATTGTATTATTATTTATTCACCTATTTATCAACTTTCAGTGTGTTTCTACGATGTTAAGAGTAAGAACACAAAAAACTTATGTAAGAATGGTAAGATATATAGGTTTATTTTTTGAACAAATATGGTATAATCTACTATAGTTAGTTAACTAAATACACTAATGGTTCTAATATCTTGTTTGTAAATTCATTAGATCAATTGAATAGCCTCAAAAGGTATAGAGGTTTTCACATAGCGTTACAAGGTAGAGCCGTATAATAAAAACAAAGCATTGTATATTTCCTCGTTTTGATAGCAATAATTTCATATGATAATATTATCACGGGTAATTGTGAAGGGAACGCAAATACAGTTTGTTATATGGCAATAGTTTTTTTTACTTGCATTATCAGGGGTAAGATATACAATGTCATGAAATTTGCGTAAATTCTCTTAGAACACTGTTAAAAGTTACTTTATGCGTATTAATATTCGCTGGATAATACAATTTGAATTTCAACGAGATTTTTTTTATGGCTTATAATAGTCACGGTTTAATTAATTCATATTATATTTGCACATGCAGATACATCCATTTACCATAACGTTATAACTGATATTATAAGTACACAATTCAAAAGTCAAGTACACATAAAGGGTGTTATTCCACATTAAGATATACACACGGTTTTTCAGGATTATTGAACCACCTGAAATGGGACCCTTTGAATTCGGAGCAGGATATGGATGATGACGACGACAACTGTCATGCCAATGATATGATTTATTGTGCACTCTTTTATTACGTGTTTTGAGAAAATAACTCCATTTTGAAAGTATATATTTTTTAAATATAATGTGGGGAGCATAGATGATTTTTATGTATACACAAATGTGGTGGTTGATACGCATAAACTACAACGTGAAAGTAGTAACATTTGAAGTACCTGAATACCAAAATTGTCCGGCCGACTAAAAAATGAAACTGAAAAGTTTGAACGACTCCTTAAATATTTGGTTTTCCTTTTATTAGCATTAGACTATTTACTATTGGTATAATTATTATAATTATTATTAATACCCACCCTCAAGTATGAAAAATTCAAATATGAGCTTTAAGTAACAGTTCTTTATCAGCTAAGGGAAGCACTTTACGAGAGAAAAAATAGTGAAGAGACAAATAAAAAAAAAAGAAAATGTTTACAGAGATACCTATGAGATCGTCACAAGGCGAATATTCAATGAAATTTCTTAGTTATCATGAGAAAGTACCTTCTTTTCCATTCGCCTGTTTCTTTCCTTTTTTCATTCTCATGCTATCCTGAAGACTTTACCTTCTTCTTCTTCTTCTTCTTCTTTGGGATAGTTTCTTCGATCTTCCATAATATTTTCTGCTCTTTCTTCAACGCCAATTATATTATAAATTGACAAATTACATATTTGCACGTTCGTAAAGTCGATAAAAACAATTTTATATAGAAAACTTTTAGTAATTCTGAATAAGCCACACGTGCTCCTTAGCCTGTTCAGGAATCAGCGGTGCATGATAACTGCACTGATAATTATTCGCTAAATATGTGCTTAAGATCGTGTTCGTAGAGGGCGATTATTAACATTATGCCGAGACCCGTGAACAATCCTAATGCCTGTAGAATACCTTGCCACTGAGAACCACCCTCGGCTGAATGACTCGAAGTTAATTCTGGAATCTGATAAAAGCGATAACAGTAAAGAGACAAAAATTTTCATAGTGTTATGGATATTGCTGAGGCCTTACCATATCGACCAGAGCTATATAAATGAACATCCCAGCTGCTGCTGCAAATATCCAACTTGTGGCTGCCGGTGTTGCACCCAGCAATACTCCAAAAACCATACCAAAAAGGCAAAGTATCGATGACAGTAGGTTATAAAAGACTGCTTGTTTGGCGCTCATTCCCGCCTTCAGTAATACCGCAAAGTCTCCTATTATTTACATATATGGTTTTATTAAACTAAATGTTTTACTGCATCAGAATTCAATGTAAACTTGCCTAACTCATGTGGCAGCTCATGACAGAATACAGCAATAGCAGTGGAAAATCCGCCAGCTATATTTGCCGAAAACGCTGCTCCAATCGCCATCCCATCAGTGAAGTTGTGAAGTCCGTCACCCATCACAACCATCCATGCTACACTGGACATCGAATCAGGGGCCGAGTGTACGTGACCTGCATTAATGATATAGGATGTACAAAGAATATGACAATTAAAACATAGACACTACAGTATAAAGTTATCTTCCCACATTGAACGAATTAGTCGTATAAGACAAATAACTCAGGAAACTAGATCCCTCATTATTCACATTCTCGGTCACTATGAAAAAGTTATCCGACATAACGGTCACATGATGATCGATTGTACAACTAGTCTGTTTGACGTGGGAAGGTACTTCAATTAATAAATCTGATAGGTTATTAATCAATTATTATATACAAATAATACTATACAAGCCCGTTAGTAAAATTTATTTTGTTATAGATTTAAGATAATCTTTCGCGATTAAAACGCCGTATTTGGCAAATGTTAATATGTATAATCAGATGATAAGATAAAATGAGACACGATATAGATTTTTCAAATATACTGTAGCAGAATATTAAAGAAAATATCTACTTAGAAAAGAAAACTGAAGATATTCACATTATGATTGCGAAACTTTGTAACAAGATACTCTAATGCATATCATTGAACGGCTTTAATTGCGGTGCACGCTTGATAACTATAAATTTACGTATCATCATTTGAGAATAAAAATATTCAATATTCCAGTAGTTCTTCGAAACTTATAAGTCGTATATCATTAACATATTATCTTACCATGAGAGTGAGTATGTCCATGATGTTTCGTCTCGTGCTCTCTGATAATAACAGTGTAACTTTCAGTTTCACTTAAAGGAACATCTGCGCCATCAGCTTTTCTTTTCGAGTGATTCATCATGGGTTCCTCGAGTTTCCATTCGTCTTCAGTTTTTTTCTTTAAAGTATTCTCTATTATTTTGGAAACTGAATTACAATTAGAAGTTAGTGGTTTCTCTTCGTCTATCGTTGGGGTTCGCTGATGATGATTGTGCTGACGATTGTGATGATTATCTGAATAACAATTTCTCCTATTCATATAAAACTTAATATCCTTGAAGTTTTGAATAAATATCAAGAATACCAAAAATAAACATTACAAGTACGAAAAGTTAGTATTGTAATTATATTTTGAAATGTACCTTGAGTTTCTGTAGTTATTTCCCCATAGCAGTAAGGATACGATGAATATTTATGTTTGCAAAGCTTTTCACCAACTGTATTATTACTAGGACCATCGGGCTCCCTCATCACTCTCACTCTCGGTGGTAGCTACGACATTATACAAGCAATTCCTTTGAGACCATATCGATTGAACTTTTAACGAAGAGGCAGTTGTTCACGCAACTCTCCTCGGTTAACTTTAGATTTCACTTTTAATTTCGTTTCCTGCTTCTTTACCCGCAATTCACACACGACCAACCTTGTTGAGTCGCTGTTTTCGCTTTCTCCACTCGGCGATCATGGTCAGTGCCTTTTCCGTAAAGAAGAATAGTACCAGACCCATCATGGCTACCAGTCCTTTCCACATGTTCGTATTATGATCTGCTTCGCCATTTATTATCATTTCCGCAGGAGTCTCCTCGTGATTATGCGTATGAGATGAACTAGACATCATTGCCTGATTCAACAAAATAAATAGATATAATATGTGGATGTTGAGTGCAATAATTAAATGATGATTCAATCATAACGCCACACACTTACATGAGGTAATAAGTGTATAAGAGCATCTCCACATAAAGTTCCTATGGCGAGAGCAACTAGAAATTGTAATAGGGTATGGTAATAACTTTTTCCCATTACTGGTATAACTGCAACACCCAGTAAGCCACAGAGACTAATGATAAGAATACTTATTGTTGAGTATACCCAGACTGTGAACAGTATGACAAACATTAATTATTATAAATCACCAATATTACTATATAATGCACTAGAAATTATCAAATAGTTCTAAGCACTTTATAAGAGTATCCTCAAGTATCTTTACAAAATACTGCATTACTAGTCTATACCTTGAAACATGTTGCGTGACATCTCCTCTGGAGCATAACCATGAGTAACGGCGGGCTTATAGTTTTCAGGAATACTTATGCATCCATTTCTTACTGAACTTGATTCGCCCGTAAGCTGATACACTAGTGCAGGACAGACGCGCTCAAATAACCACCCCGGTAAAATTGTACTATTTTTTGTAGCTGCTAAGTAAGGAATATCTTGCGATACCGTCATTAATAATTCTTTACTACTCAGACACTGCAAATTTAAAAGCATATGTTCAGTCCAGTAACAATAAAAACATTCGATAAGTTTTTGAAGTGTAATGTTCATTGATTTGCAAAATAAAAAAAAATTACCTGCATGTGGTATGTTCCTTTAATTAATTTTAATGTACAAAACAAATCAATTCGACAAAAATCTTCTATTTAATCTAATACTATATTTGCTACTAAACTACTGTGTATCTTACCCTCTGTTTTTGATTATCACTATTACTATCACGCAAGCTCCCACTTCCTATATCTTGGCTGTTACCTGAGCAGAATAAAAAGTCAAATTATATTAGTAAGAAATAGTAGATAAAATTATAACATAAATTAAATAATTTAATAATAATACCTATAATTTACAGATATTACCTATGATGCGTGATTAAGGATATTTCCCTAGCATTACTCGATACGGTATCAACACGTAAGGTACTATTCCACGTCGAACAGACTAGTCGAACGAGATGGATAATTCAGAAAATCAAATCACTCATTGACTAGAATCGGAATAACCTTTTCGTGATGGCCAAATCTGATCAAAGAAGAATCTGGTTTTCCGAGTTATCTGTCTTGCACGAGTAATTCGTTCCATTTGGAAAGAGAAATTTATGCCACAAAAAAGAGAATTTTCATCTTAATAGGGTTCACTCTCACTCACTTTTTGATATTAAATAAGCTAATATTACAAAAAAATTGTCGTTCATTGAAAATAATTCGACATTATAATTAAGAGAATAAGATATATGAATTTTTTGTATCATCCTCCTGTGGCCATGATTCGATTAATGATACTCATCTATAGATATACTTGAAAAAGTATAAGAAGAAATACATCTGTCATCTTAAGAAGCAATGGGAATCGACGCTTGGTAGTTGCACATTCATAAAATCAATAAAGAACCCGACTAGTCAATTGATCAAGTGTAAATGTTTAGGCTAATAACTACAGACAAATAAACATCTATGTTTTTACTCGGCATTATTGTCATTTTTAAATAAACGCGATCGAGCAGTGTATATGGCGTTACGTCAATATTTGATATCCGCTATTCTCACTCTGTGAATTTTATCTTTGCCTTGTAACACAACCTAGAATTCATCCCCATTTCACACAAAAGTAAGAGTATATTAAGTCAAATGCTTTTAAAAAATTATCATTGATATCCTGGCTTAAGGATATTGTACAAAGTAAACGGATTATGCAACGCAACATGCATAGAGATCTTCGTGCATACCAGAATTTACGATGCAATTTCAAACAAAAGGAAAGCCCTTACATTTTTTATCATTTGAAGCATTATACGTTTATCATTTTCGAATTTAATAACTGTCTTCTAATTATAAATAAATCAATCATAAGACTAAAATAAATACTAGGCTTCGAGTGACACCTGAGCTCATAATGTAGCTCTGATTAAAGTTTCGAAGGATTCATGTGAAAACTTTTTAAATTACATAGCAGGACAATTATTATCATAAACCTTACTTACCGGATGGACTACCAGTCTGATTGTTTTGCACACTATGTTCCTCTAATTCGTTAAAGTTTGTCACGAGTCTCAGAAGCCCTAGTTTTCTCAAAAGATGCTCAAAGCCTTCCATGGTAATAATGTTGCCATCGCCATACGTTTCAAAGACCTTTTTCAAGAAGTAATGTTCATCAACACCAACATTTCTTTTCCTCCTTGATCTGCTAGGCAACTCCTTGCTTGGTAATTCGAAACCGAGTCGACCAAGTCTCTCGAGAATTTCTCTGGATGGAATATTTGTCTCCGGAGAGACCTCGGCTTTTAGAATATTTTTCTCTAAAAAGCTAAACTGCTTCACTGTGGATAATCTATTGATTTCTCGAGATGGCCGAATATTCGCCATATTTGATCTGCGAGCTTCTTGTACTTTGATTATTTCCTTAGTACCAATTACAAGCTCCGATGGGTGGAGACTCGCTGTAGAACTTAGCAAATCCTGCATACTATCACCTACATCCTGTATACGAAAATCTGTATGTGCGGAGCAAGGAGTGTGTGCCGCACATAATACGCAAACAACGCATACGGTAACAAAATGATGCGCCATCTTAAATCTGAAAAAAAAACTATGATCATTATATATTTATTGTATGTATATACAAAGCTAGAATAATCAGCAAATAGTCTAAACATATCAGAATAAATAAGTCTCCTTATAAGAGTAATCCTGCTAATCATAATAATATTGAATTCCTTTAACTGTTTCCCATGAAAAAAGAACTGATTTTTATATCTTGAAACATTGATTATGAAACTCTTTTTAAACTGTCCGTGACCGATATTGTACCAATAGCAAAAATTACATTGAGGCTTGAACTCCGAGCGCAACTTTTTTTAAATCTCAAGATAATTCTTGTTTGACTGAAGTTTAATGGCTTATCATTATTACTTTTTTCATGCAATAAAAACATTGGGTCACCTCTATTTACGATTATAAACAGTATTTTGCTCAAAAATTCGTCTGAAAGAAAACACAAATTTCCATATCTATTCAATCGTCTGGGTGTCGTCGTTATAAGGTTTTCATTCTTAAAGCTTCTGCCTCGAATTGAAGATTATTCTGCGAATTTGATTAACTGTATTACAATTTCACGTATTACATATTATATACCCAACACGGAGTGGAGATCGCGGCTGTATAACCTCCGCAAGGTTAAAATCATACCTTTCTAAAAAAAACTTTATTTTAAAACTTATTTTTCTTTATAATTTTTAATTTGGATGATTTTTGGTATTAAAGTTGTAGAAAATAAATGTGATAATGTTGCAAATGCAGGATGAAGATCCGTTTATTATCGTCATGCTAACCTGTAAACTTTTAATGCTTATTCATAGTAATATCATTTACTTGTAAACAAAGCCGATCGAAAAGCTATGACAGTAAAGAATTTCCAATTTTTAAATATTTTTGTCAATTTTTGTAGTTGTCTTATGAATCAATTCAGTAGTTCTAGATAAGTTCTAAATGCTGGTTTTGAATCTTTCCTTGCTTTTGATGTTAACATTTTGTGTACGTGTGCACAAATAAAATATTGACGAAGAAGAAGCTGTTGCGTTCCCGATTTACTATGGACGAGCCCCAATTAGTTATCATGCACATGAAGCACAAGCATTCAAATTGTTTACAGTATAAAATACAAAAATACTGTCAGCGAAAATTCGAAAGTTTACTCCTTACTTCCTGATCAGATATATTATCGTATAATTTTTAGGAATCTGGGACGTAAAAAGATATTCCATTAATCGTTATAGATATCTCCTGACAATATGGTTTTTCAGGCAAAAGAAATGAAAAAGATGCAAGTTGAAACTTGCAATTTGCTTCCTCCGAATAGTAAGTACTGTACGAAGTCCTTATATGAGGAAGCATTTTCATTTTTTTTTAATCTTTGGCTTCCTCATAGATGAATCTTCATCTACTGCCCACGATTCAGAGGAAGCAAATTGCAAAATTAAAATTCTTGGCTTCCTCATATAGGGACTTCGTACGCTACTTACGATTCCGAGGAAGCAAATTGCAAGTTTCAACTTGCAGCTTGTTTAACGCGAGACCCCATGCCTCTCACAACTTGGGGTGCTTCATACTGTAGAGAACGCATGCAAGGATAAATCTCTTGCATGATCTCTTCGGGCCTAATATTTTTGAATTGGCTGAAATTCAAAAACTTGAATATACGTATAATCAGATCCGTTTTTCCTATCTCTGCCAAATTTGAGACATATCACGGCTAAACGATGTTCTATATTTTTGGAAAATTGGAGCTCAATCGGTCAAAGTTGACGGGAGTTATATTGATAAATTTAATTTTTCGAAAAATTCAAAATATCATAAAATCAAAACTTCTCGATCGATTCAGTCCAAATGCAATACCGACCAACCTTGGATACATATGTCTTTGTCAATAACTATTTAGACGATTATCACAAAATTTGCGATCGCTAGAGTGCGAACGTTCTTTTTTTGGAAATTTGAAAACGACATAAATTTTGAGCCCCAGCTTGAATCATGACAAAAATTATAGTCAATGAAGGGATTATAGAGCTGCACATACCTGCAAAATTTGTAGCTAAAACCGTTCTCGAGTTATACACGTTTGAATTTCGGGAGGCCATTACACACACACACACACACACACACACACGCGCGCGCGCGCGCGCGCGCGTATATATATGTATATACATACATCCGGACATTTTCTCCAAACGTGTTTTCTCGACATTTTGGCACATTCTAAACATGGTGGCATAAAAATCTCGACAGGAAAATTTTCCACCGTCACATAGCTTCCTCTGTGAGGAAGCAAAAGCGAAGCGATGTTTAGTATTTTCATAATAAGCCTATTCTGAGCAATTATAATGGCATAGGTAGTACTAGACGCCTATTATGATTAACACTAGATTTACGGAACCCCTCATTTTGACAGATTTCAAATTTAATATTAAACCCTTAAATTCCACACTGGAGTGAATTGCAAACTCGCACGGGCTAGTACGGAATTTAAAGGTGTGTGACAAAGGCGTGAAATTCGAAAATTAAAGTTACAGAAATTACAAGTATTATTTTTTAGTAATTTCTGTTGACGCTGATAATCAACCTCCGTAAATCTAGTGTTAAATAAAATTGAACACTTTGAAGTCACGTGTTATTTATCCTCATCATAATGCAAAGGTTTATGACAGTAATCGAAAATAAAATATTAACAGGGTTTATCAACTATCGGTAAGATAGTTACTGTCTTTCATTGATGAACAACGTTACCAACAACTAAAAGTTCGTAGTGATAGTCTATTCATAAATAGCGTAAATATGACAGCGACCACCAAGTACAATTACCTTATGATTAAACAGGCATGTAAACAAGACTGCCGTATCTGCTTCATTAGAAAACACCATTAATTATAGAAACGTGAACAATTATTGAAAAGAAAAAGATAAGTAATAGCAATATATAATATATAATGGATTAAATCAGAGAGTGTCTTACTGATACGATAGATATCCTAGTTTATTTATACATCCTAATATAAGCATGATACTATCCACAAACTAATTTCGTGAGTCTTGAACTATTGCAAACCAATTGATATGAATAAACATGAATCTTCGATTCTAGTCGTAAGTGAGAATGGAATAACGTGAGTGAGATATTTCTGTATTTGTAGTTCGAAAATTAAAAAAAGAAAGGGTAGAAAATGGAAGCTCGGTGTAATATCTGATGACGCTGTTGCACCGCGTCGAAAATAGCTTGGTTGATCACTATATCCCATGAAAAGTCGTATTTTTAACTGTAAAAAAAGAAAGGAACAGCGACTTCGGCTCAAAGTGTTCATTGACACAGTGTAAGAATTTCATAAATCAACGGTGCAAATTATCGCGAGAAAATACTTGAATTGAGGTTAGAAAAAGCAATTTCCTCAACAGGGTATAAAACGCTGCCAGGTTTATCCATATCATTTATTTGATACTCCTCATAAGATAAACGGCACTATACGATTACCTGTATTCGAGGATGTCGCGTGGCAAAATGGCATGTATCAGAGACTCGTGGCCTGTGTTAACTCTTGGTGAGTCTGACTGACGAACTCACCTACACAAGTGCCGTTCGGAGTCTCTTTCCTAAGTTCTCACTCCGATTTTCTCACTGCTCTGTAGTTGTTGCCCGGCAAAATATGTATGGACGCGGCGTGCAACAAGTACACCGTGAACTTAGCACGACTCCGGATTCCTCTGAACTTCGCCAGGGTATCTGTCGTTCGCAAATATAACGACAAAGGGAGGGCGACGTGGAACGGCGACAAAGAGTGAACGGTTCAGAGTAGCTCTGGAAGGAGTCATGGCATGAAAAGTATGACATGGTGAGGGATGAAGCGGGGAACGTGGGCTCCCTCAGGAGTGGGGAGAACAAGAGACTAGTTCACGGTTGCACTAGAAACTAGAGCAGATATGGATTTCTTATGATCACACAACATTCACTAGTTATCCATTTGAGCATAACGAGGTTTTTTATTTATTTTTTACGTATTTTATTAGATTAGGTTAGTTTGTACGGGTATTAGTTAATAATCAGTATATTATTTCTTAACCAGGGATTTTTCAGGACATCAAATTACACTATGGCTCAATTCCACCAATATGGTTTACTGTTTGAACTCCGTTTAACCGTGCAATTAGCCTATGAGATACTTGCATTTTGAAAACAGAGTTACACATCGAGCTGTATCTGAGGAATTGGGTTTAATGGTTCATCGTATTCCTTTTACCAGTTACTAGTAAATATGAAAAGCATGGGGTTTCAGTACTTTTCCATGATTAGATTTCTTTTTCTATTTAAAAATAAATGTTTACAAATAAATAAATGGATCTTACGAATTCTTAATATGCAATTATAACTCGATTCAAGACTTCTTAACCCTTAACTACAAATTTGCAGTCTTACACACCTCACTAATTACATGTTAAATTTATCTATTTATTTATACAGAAAACTTCAATGAACTAAAAAGCCCTATTAGATAATTATTATTTGATACCGAATTATTAAATTCATTTAAATTAAGAGAAGAGTAACATAAAACTACTTTTGAACTATTCTATTTGTTGTATGGCCTCACAATCCAGTTACACAGATCGAGGTTGTACAGATCTCACCTTGTGAAGTATATTTCTAAAATTGGACCTATATTGTTAAGATTTCAGATTTTTTTATATATAGGAAACAGGTTATCTATGATTTTTACTGATGAACAGCCATTTACTTCTTAATTTGTTATGTTGAAATTTATTAAATGTTGTTTACAGGGAAAATATTTTTATATAGTTCCAATCATTTCAACTGAATGAGGACTTAGAACATTTGGCTGTTGAGTGCTTTATTGCCACAGTAAGCTGAAAGAAAATGTACACACATTTATATAAACTGAATTTTACTGGCAGGCAGAAAAATATTTTAATAACATATAAGCTCTTACTTCATGAATGAAAGTGGTGGCATTCCAGGATCTGCACCTTTTTTAAATCCTATAATCAAATTTTTACACTGCACATTTACATTTCAGAGTGAAATAATAATATAAAAATCGATACTAACCTAAATACAAAACTGCAGGTATAAAACCCCAGTGGAACACCACTTTACTCACATCCAGAATAATGGAAATCTTTTGCTTGGTACTAGGACTCATGACCATTTTATTAATACAATTTGTGCGTTATGATTTCTCTTAAATAGCCATAAATTTTCGTTGGAACGGTTGCAGGTGAACGTTTCGTATATCAGATCTCTCGCCGGATACTGAAGAGCCAACGTCACACACCATAACTCAATTTTATGAAATGAGCGACATCTTCACTACGTGCTACATATTCAAACTAACAGTCGTATTCATAGTCCGTCCTTATCTCCTTCCTTCTTTTCCTTATGGCTGCCTCCTCAATGAGGAGATGTGCCAGTAAGGGTGCGTTCCACTTAACGCTCGCAATGCTTGCGTCCACGACCGTAAGATTTTGTGTTCCACTTGCTTGTGGACTGTTGTGGACGTCGTGGTCGAAAACTTAAGTGGAGCGACTTATCGGACTTGTGAACGATACAAAGATGGCTGGTGTTATAGAGAATATGTGTATAAGGCTAATGCGTGAACGGAATTATGTTTCTGAGAGTTCATCAAGCTCAGATGACAATAATATCATGTACCATTTTGCGCACGCAAAGCATCTTGTACAGGAACATTTAATTCGAGTAATATATCCCTCTCGGAATCGTACAGCGTTATTTTTTCAGTCCCCATCATAAATTTGAATTGAAAATGGCGCACAAAAATATCAAACGACCACAAACACCCACCTATTTGATGTGGGCGAAGCGATCGCATCGCGGTCGCCAATGATGACGTCATCGATGACGTTTCAGAGACTGCTCACAGCGACCGCGGCCTTAAGTGGAACGAGACAGAGGGTGTTGCGATCGTTGCGAGCGTTAAATGGAACGCACCCATTTTAACTGATCCGTAAAAGTCAGGTAGGAGTAGATAAAATTGTCCAGAAAGATGATAGGTTTCTATGTTATTTGGAATTTGTCCATTGTGTAGCCAGCGACACCCGATAAATTCCGTAGCTTATGATGTGAGTGAAGCATAAAGCGAGGTTTGTATGACGTATACATATATCAATTTAAAGAGACTGTGGATATATAAGTTGAAGATTCCGTGACGTGACAAGTCTATGTTTAAAGGTGCAGTATATATAGACGCAAAAGATTACAAGAAATGACAGGTCGTGTGTCAAGTGGATGAAGTGGAATAATACCAAATTAGGAAGAAAAGGGATGGAACTCAGATGGGTCAGAAGGCTGTATGGGAGTATGATTTATACAAATAGGATGGCATCTTCTGTTCTACCCTGAACTAACTTAACAAAATTAACAATGGCTTTCAGGATTTGAGGGTCCTCAGAAAAAGCCAAATTCACAATGTGATATGGAGCTGGCATTTTTAACCGAGACAGAGTGAGTTCTAGTTTCGCCGTAGCAATTCGGTTTAAAGGGCACGCCCAGAATATGTGTTTCCGATCTTGAAATGGGGCATTGCATTGACAAGCCTCGGATGTAGACGCACCGATCCTAAAAAGGTGAGCTTTTGTAGCTGTATCGTTAGTACGTATTCTATTAATTATTACAATATCCTCTCCTTCCCATGCAATGTTTAAGAACCAGGGTGGTTATATGTGAGAAGGAGACCATTTAAAGAAGTTTATCCCTTTGTATTGAGCCTGTTCAAGAAGGAAGTTATAAGCCTTAAGTTTAAGGTTACTTTTGCAGTGCACTGCCAAGTCTGACCAAACCATCTTGGTGTTGACAGTGAAGATGGTAAGAGCATCTTTGGCCTTCGTGTCTGCCACCTCATTGCCATGTATCCCTTGGTGGGAGGGGATCCAGATAAACTGAATTTTATAATTAGAATTTATCAAATTCAGATATAATAGTTTACATTGGGCAATGATGGGGTGAATTTTTGGGTTGAACGTACTATTAGCAAGACACTGCAAAGTGCTACATGAGTCTGATAGGATAACAGTTTCCGTAATGTTTTTATTTTGAATCAGTTGGAGGGCTCCGAGAATAGCAGATGCTTCAGCAAAGAAGATGGAGGCTTTATTGCTATACCTAAACTTCCTGGATAAACCAAGGTTCTTGGCAAAGATTGCTGCCTCACATCTCTCAGGGGAGGAGGATCGCGACCCGTCTGTATAGATATATATCCAGTTTCGGAATTTATTACGTAAGTAAGTGGATAATCTATCATTGGGGTTTTCCACCCCCCTTAATGTAGTACCAAACTAGAGAATATGTGTATAAGGCTAATGCGTGAACGGAATTATGTTTCTGAGAGTTCATCAAGCTCAGATGACAATAATATCATGTACCATTTTGCGCACGCAAAGCATCTTGTACAGGAACATTTAATTCGAGTAATATATCCCTCTCGGAATCGTACAGCGTTATTTTTTCAGTCCCCATCATAAATTTGAATTGAAAATGGCGCACAAAAATATCAAACGACCACAAACACCCACCTATTTGATGTGGGCGAAGCGATCGCATCGCGGTCGCCAATGATGACGTCATCGATGACGTTTCAGAGACTGCTCACAGCGACCGCGGCCTTAAGTGGAACGAGACAGAGGGTGTTGCGATCGTTGCGAGCGTTAAATGGAACGCACCCATTTTAACTGATCCGTAAAAGTCAGGTAGGAGTAGATAAAATTGTCCAGAAAGATGATAGGTTTCTATGTTATTTGGAATTTGTCCATTGTGTAGCCAGCGACACCCGATAAATTCCGTAGCTTATGATGTGAGTGAAGCATAAAGCGAGGTTTGTATGACGTATACATATATCAATTTAAAGAGACTGTGGATATATAAGTTGAAGATTCCGTGACGTGACAAGTCTATGTTTAAAGGTGCAGTATATATAGACGCAAAAGATTACAAGAAATGACAGGTCGTGTGTCAAGTGGATGAAGTGGAATAATACCAAATTAGGAAGAAAAGGGATGGAACTCAGATGGGTCAGAAGGCTGTATGGGAGTATGATTTATACAAATAGGATGGCATCTTCTGTTCTACCCTGAACTAACTTAACAAAATTAACAATGGCTTTCAGGATTTGAGGGTCCTCAGAAAAAGCCAAATTCACAATGTGATATGGAGCTGGCATTTTTAACCGAGACAGAGTGAGTTCTAGTTTCGCCGTAGCAATTCGGTTTAAAGGGCACGCCCAGAATATGTGTTTCCGATCTTGAAATGGGGCATTGCATTGACAAGCCTCGGATGTAGACGCACCGATCCTAAAAAGGTGAGCTTTTGTAGCTGTATCGTTAGTACGTATTCTATTAATTATTACAATATCCTCTCCTTCCCATGCAATGTTTAAGAACCAGGGTGGTTATATGTGAGAAGGAGACCATTTAAAGAAGTTTATCCCTTTGTATTGAGCCTGTTCAAGAAGGAAGTTATAAGCCTTAAGTTTAAGGTTACTTTTGCAGTGCACTGCCAAGTCTGACCAAACCATCTTGGTGTTGACAGTGAAGATGGTAAGAGCATCTTTGGCCTTCGTGTCTGCCACCTCATTGCCATGTATCCCTTGGTGGGAGGGGATCCAGATAAACTGAATTTTATAATTAGAATTTATCAAATTCAGATATAATAGTTTACATTGGGCAATGATGGGGTGAATTTTTGGGTTGAACGTACTATTAGCAAGACACTGCAAAGTGCTACATGAGTCTGATAGGATAACAGTTTCCGTAATGTTTTTATTTTGAATCAGTTGGAGGGCTCCGAGAATAGCAGATGCTTCAGCAAAGAAGATGGAGGCTTTATTGCTATACCTAAACTTCCTGGATAAACCAAGGTTCTTGGCAAAGATTGCTGCCTCACATCTCTCAGGGGAGGAGGATCGCGACCCGTCTGTATAGATATATATCCAGTTTCGGAATTTATTACGTAAGTAAGTGGATAATCTATCATTGGGGTTTTCCACCCCCCTTAATGTAGTACCAAACTCAAGGTTGACATTCATATGAAGGAATTGGGCTGCTAGTGGAATGGAAAAGCAAATAGGAAGAGGATGTTTGCTAGCTTCCTCACATATTGCTGGAGTCGGCATCTCCAAAAACGCGTGGTTTCTCTGTTGCATCATCATTCGTATATATATGCGTGTGCGGGATCCAAATTCAAAAAGACACGGCACGTGACATCTACTGGAGGCTAACCAGTTTAAAAAAAGGAAAGGTGAGTTCTTTTTATTATTAGACCGACCTATCAATTCCTTCAGAAGCTTAATTTTCCCATGAATAGGGTGACCCCTTATTGACAAGGTTCTAATTATATATCTCGATGATAAAAATCGCCTTCTCAGACAAAGAGGCGAACCGCCTGCCATAGCCAAGATAGCATTGGTGGGAGTGGATATCATGAGTCCCAGGGCAGAGCGCAGTGCCACGTACTGAATGCGGTCGAGGGCTAGGAGAGAGCTAGTATTGCCATTCCCATAGCATAATGATCCCCAGTCTATTATCGATCTCGTTAAGGCCTTGTATACTAATAATAATATATTAGGATGAGCTCCCCAGTTTATTCGTGAGATCGCTTTAATGACCCGAAGAGAAGCGCGAGCTTTTTCTGTGGTCTTACGAATATGCTGGTTCCAACTGAGTTTATGGTCAAGCCAAACTCCAAGGAATTTCGCAACCGGAGACCAATGGATCGGGTGATTACCTATGAGAACTGAGTAATTGTGCCAGTCATTCCTTTTCCGTGAGAAAATTGTAAATTGAGATTTCCTAGGAGAAATGGAAAGGCCTATATTTTTGAGCCACAACGATAGTGATACAAGTGCAGAGTTGAGAACCGAAGTGATGTATGCGGGATCTTTATGCGAGAAATAAATAACGATGTCATCTGCATATAATAGAACGCGACATAGTGAACCAACATGTAACAAAATATTCGTCCGATTGCTGTCGAACGACTCGAATCTACCGCGAATCCAGGCACGTCAATCCACCTTCCGGCCGAGCTCTTTGGCCCTATCAGGGCAGTTCAATCGGTCTCTTTCCTTTATCATGGACCACCACCAGACACATAAGGAAATTCAGTACAACACAAATTACTAAACTTACTAACTTTATTATTTCCCGCGTGGCTTAACGCGGGTTTCCATCAATACAAAAGGTACTCCTTATACCATACTTACACAGGTAATCCCACATTACGCGTGGCTACTCTACTAGGAACTAATTCGTACACAAAAAAAAAAACACAAAGAAAACAACTCAAACACCGAGTTTAACCGGGCAACCTCTTGGGTTCCCTTCGCGAGCTACGCGTTACAGAAACTTCGGTAACCCGTATT